TTGTTTCACAGAAGTACAATAGAAATGTCCTCCAGACATGAAGCAATCAGAGTTAGATTGGCAAAATTTCAAAAATTGAAAATTTGGCAGGATGAGGAAAGAAAGATTTGCCAAATGAATATACCAACCACTGACAAGAAATCTGTCTATGCTAATTAAGCATATTTATAGATTAGCATAGTAAGAGTTCTTGTCTCATACATGAGATAATCCCAAGACAGCTGGGAAAGGCAAGCATACCAGTACTAACATATTCTGTGATACAAGTAACATCTGCTGTCATGGCAATGCCCCTACATGAGTATCTCATTCCTAAAAGCACAGGTAGATGCCCACCACAAGCAGATCCTATTTGAAAGGCTTGTATCTAGAAAGGCCTGAACATACAACAAATATACATGCTACCAAAGAAGAGTCACCTGTCCTCAGGTGAGCAGTAGATGTATCACTTAAGCAGGGGATTTGTCAGTATGTTGAAATATAAAGAAAATTACTGGTAAAACTTACTTGAAAAGACTAAATGTGGCTCCATCATCTCATTTCTCTAAAGCTACTAACTAATAATTATCATGAAAGGTACAAATTTCTAAGTGGACAGTAACAGTCATAAAATATATTAAATAAAGAGAAGGAGAAAGACAGAGAGAGAGAAAGGAATGTTAATAAGTAAAATATGAAAGAAAAATCACATGACAGGTTTTAATGATAGAGGATTCCAGGTTCACATGAAATACACATTGATAAATTGAAAGTATCAGTAAACACACCATTCAAGAAGGAGCTCTATCAATGAAACGTATGCTTTATTCCCTTATACTGAATATAAGACAACAAGCTCCCAGCACTCATATTGAATCCAAGCATGCCAGGTTACAACAATTTACTGAAGCACAGCTCTCATGGGTTTTCTATCTCCTGTTTGGTCAATGGTAAGTTGATGTTTGGAATGAATGACTGTATAAATGAAGTCACTTCACATAAAATAATGCCCAAATAAGAAAAATAGGAAATCAAGTCCTGGGATAAAATACCATTTTTCTCATAATAGATATACTGAAACATGTTTATAAAGATGTGTTTTGTGGCTAAGAGATTTAAAAAAAAAAACAGCACTAAGGGACCAGGTTGGTTGACATGTTGAGTCCCAAGCAAGTCAGGGCATAGTGATACTCTGTCTCAGAAAAAATAAAATAATATCTACACATAAAAGAATAACAAAAAAGAAAAACAGCAAATGTTGATGTGGGGAATGAGGAATGAATATTCACTGTTGGTGGAAGAAAAAACTGGAAAGTCACTTTTGGATTTAATACAGAAGTTTCTCAAAAGCCTAGAAACAGATCTTCCATGTGACCCAGATACACCACTTTTCTTAGTCACTGTTATATTGCTGGGTAGACACCATTAATGACCAAGACAGCTCTTATAGAGGAAACCATTAATTTGGGAGCTTACAAATTATTTTGGGGGATTGTGATCATGGCAGGGAGCACAATAACAGGTAGATGTGATGCTGGAGACTGCTAGGCTTAGTAATTCAGACAATTTAATTTAGAGAGCTCATCTAGAAGAAAGGGATTTCTTTAAGCATAGACTGCCTGATCCCAGAATTTCCTAGCAGAAGTTCCCACTGACTTGCACCCAGAAAGTTATCCACTTGCAGGAACTTAATTAGGTATCAAACTTCCCACAGCCCATCATTCCTGTGGCTTTGATTCTAAAAGGATAGGATGTGGAAAGTTTAAATACCTGTCACCTTAGCAGCTGCACCTAAATCTGCTGATATTTTTTATTACCTAGCTGTAGTGTGTTCAGATTCTCTGGCCACACTTCTTCTAAGTATCCACATTCTCACATTTACTCTGGTGCAGTCTGCTGACTGTGCTTGTTTTCATTACTTCATATTCTGAAAATTCTGGTGCCACTTCTGTGGTCATTTTACTGAATGTGAAAAGCTGATCCATGGGGCAGCTGTGATGATCATGAGTCTAGAAGCTACAATGACAGCTACACTGCTTTCTGCTTACTGTGGTTTACCTGTTGGAGAAGTTCACTCTGAGTACCACACTGGCAAGCAGTTAACCTGCAGAGATCATTAACCTCAAGCTTCAAGATGTTTATGGTGGTCACAAGCCCTTTGGTTGCAGCAATGAGCACTCAAGATCATTCATGAAACAAAGTCACTGATGAACAACAAACACTAATGAGCCAGTCAGAGAGTTGTGATGTAGGCTGGCAACCAGGAAGCCTGCATGGGACTGAAATACAGCCTCTGCATGTATGTTACAGATGTGTAGCTTTATCCTCTTGTGGGATTTGTAACAGTTGGAACAGAGGCTGTCTCTGACTTTCACTGGCTTTTGGGACTCTACAATTCATTCTGGATTGCCTTGCCCGTCTTAATACATGAGGAGGTGCTTAGTCTTACTGCAACTTAAATGTCATATTTCCTTGATATCCATGATAGACCTGTCCTTTCCTAAATATAATTCAAAAACAAATGTACTGGAGGGGGTAGGAATAGAGGGTTGGGGGACCAAGAGGAAAGAAGTGGGGAACTGCAACTGGGAAATAGAACAAACAAACAAATAAATAATGCTCTGTGACAATGTTTTATATTATAAAAAGCAGACATATTAATCCTGATTCTAAAGAGGAACAGACTGGGAGTGTGTGTGTGTGTGTGTGTGTGTGTGTGTGTGTGTGTGTGTGTGTGTGTGTGTGTGTCCACTGAAATTTTTTTCATTGTTTTACTTTATTTTACATTCCATCCACAGTAGTCCCTCTCACCCCTCCTTCCACACTCCTGCTTCTCCTCAGTTCCCCCTCACCTTCCCCATAGCCCACACCCAGTCTAATCCTTCTTAGGGGTAAGGGATCCCATGAAGAGTCAACATAATCTAGCACAATAGGTTGGGCAGAGCCAGGTCCCTTTCCCATACATTAAGACTTAGCATGGCATCCCACCTTAGGGAATAAGCTTCAACAAGCAAGCTCAGGTCCTGGAATTATATTATGGTCCTAATGCCAATAAGCATAGCATTCCACCCTAAGGAATGGGTTCCAACAAGCTAGCTCATACACCAGGTTTGTATCGTGGTCCTGCTACCCTCTGATAATTCATAACTGTCTCCCACATACACGGGGCCTAGTGCAGCCCCTTGGAATCTCCACAGTTGTAGGTCTAGAATTCATGAGTTACTAAAAGCCTGATTCAGCTGTCTCTGTAGATTTCTCTATCATGATAAGGAGTGTCCTTGCTCATACATTCTCTCCATCCTCTCTTCAACTGGATTCCTGGACTTTGGTCTGGTTCTTGGTTGTGGATATTTGTACCCAGTTCCATCAAATACTGGATAAGGTTTCTATGATGATAGTTAGGGTAGTCATCAATCTGATTATATGGGTAGGCAAGTTCAGGCATCCTCTGTACTATTGCTAGGTGGCTTAGGTGGCGTCCTCCTTATGGATTCTTGGGAATTATCCTAGCACCAGGTTTCTTCCTAAGCGCATAGTGGCTCTCTCTATTAAGATATATCCCTCATTGCTCTTCTACTGTATCCCTCCCTACCATCTCATTCCTTTACATTCTCATCCCCCCTCCATTACCCTTACCAGCCCCTGCCCCCAGTTTGCCCCATAGATTTCATCTAATTTCCCTTCCCAGGGAGATTCAGAAAGATGGATACATGGAATCAAATCAAGACCCTGATATCAATCAACATACATATGAACACCTGATTTTTGACAAAGAAGCCAAAATGGTACAATAGAAAGAGGAAAACCTCTTTAACAAATGGTGCTGTCATAACTGGATGTTAACATGCAGAAGATTGAGAACACATCTACATTTATTGCCATGCACAAAACTCAAGTCCAAGTGGATCAAGGACCTCAACATAAATCCAGCTACATTGAACATCATAGAAGAAAAAGTGGGAAATAGCCTGGAATACATTGGCACAGGAGACCTCTTCTTAAATACAACACCAGTAGCACAGACACTGAAAGCAACAATCAATAAATGGGACCTCCTGAAACTGAAAAGCTTCTATAAGGCAAAGGATACTGTCAATAAGTCAAAACAACAGCCTACAGAATGGTAAATGATCTTCAGCAACCCCACATCTGACAGAGGTCTCACCTTGAAACTTTATAAAGAACTCAAGAAACTAGACATCAAAATACAAAATAACCCAATTGAAAAATGTGGTACAGAACTAAATAGAGAATTTTCACCAGAAGAATCACAAATGGCCAAAAGACATTTAAGGAAGTGCTCAACATTCTTAATGATCAGGGAAATGAAAATTAAAATGACCCTGAGACACCATCTTACATCTGCCAGAATAGCTAAAATAAAAAATACTGAGGACAGCTTATGTTGGACAGGATGTGGAATCAGGGGAACATTCGTTCACTGATGATGGGAGTGCAAACTTGTATAGCCATTTTGGAAATCAGTATGGTGGTTTCTAAGAAAATTGGAAATCAATCTACCTCAAGACACAGTATTACCACTCTTGGGCATATAACCAAAAGAAGCACATTAACATCACAATGACATTTGCTCAACAATGTTCATAGCAGCATTTTTTGTAACACCCAGAACCTGGAAAAAACCTAGATGCCCCTCAACTAAAAGAATGGATGGAGAAAATGTTTTATATGTACCAAATGGAGCACTACTCAGTGGTTAAAAAAAAAAGAAAAAAGAAAAGAAAGAAAAAAAGTAATTTGATGAAATATCAGGCAAATGTACAGAACTATAAAAGAAACTCTCTCTCTCTCTCCCTCTCTCTCTCTCTCTCTCTCTCTCTCTCTCTCTCTCTCT